CGATCCGCGGATTATCCGCAGCGCCCGCGGATATAACCGCCATCCCTGCATCACTAGTACACATCCATCCTATAATTATGCAAATCCACCCAGTGTTTTTTTTTAAATCCCTATTTTAAAATCCTCTTTCTCAAATCAGGCTGTTCTGAGACTCCTGTCAGAATGACGTAGTTCTGCACAGGCTGCTCCCACTATAGTTGATTGACAAGGCCGTCTTACCTTCAACCCGCCCTGAGTGAGCTGTCATCAGTCCGCCTTTGTGTCGACTCCGGTGCAGGGGAAGACAAGATGTCTCAGATTAAGTGATTGAGGTGTTTTGTTGTTGGATGTAGTCGTCATTTACTCCCGACATCTGAGCTGCTGAAGACGCAGAGGATTAACGTTACTTTCGCTTTGAAGTGAATGCGCCCCGATCTGCCTAAAAGCGTCTATGTTTGCGCAAATCATTTGTGATCCAGCTTCATCTACAGAAGAATTGAGTATAAGGGTTTTTTATGAATCTTTGTAAATCGCCTTTCCTAATATGTGCTAGTTAGCCAGTTTCGCGGCTGAAGTTCACAGTCTGCTTGTCACCCCACTGAAGAGAGGGGCGGGGTCAGCAGAGCTCATTAGCATTTAAAGCAACATGGACTAGAACAGCGTGCTGAAAACAGAGCTGATTTTGACAGGTTTAAAAAGGTGTTTTTTACACTACCATTGAGAAATTTTAACCAAAGTATGTTATAGACTTTTAATTAAGACCCTAAAGAATCATATCAACTTGTGCAAAATGGGCATCCGATGACCCCTTTAAAGCAACAGGACAAAAACATAGTTGATGACTAAAAATGATCAATTTATGACTCTAGACATAACTTTGTGAAGACAGTGGCATAATACAGTCACATAATACGTTTTTAGCTATATCAAAACAGTAGTCATGTACATCGGTAAATTTTACCCGCTGGTGTTTTACAGCGACCTCTGGCAGTTTAAGTGTTAAACAGCTTGACTGAAAAACTGGGAAATGCTGTTGGCTATTGTGTGACAGCAGTTTTAACTTTTACACAAACTTGTAAATTTATCATAAGGTTGAATCAATTTATTTATTAGTTAATTACTTTCTGATGCTTTTGTTTCAATCTTGAATGACATGATGCTTCCATAACGCGTTTGTATCCAGTAGGCCTGTAGCGTTGTTCTCATAGCAGTGATTTAAAACGTTGTTTCTCTGGCATTTTCAAAAGCACATAAAATATAATTCTGTGGCTTGGCTTAGTACAGTCTAATGAAATCCAATTTTAAACATCTTGTACTGTACCAATTTTTATGGCCCTTATATTTCCTATTTGAGCCAATGCTGATGTGACTCAGCATCAGTGTAGAAAGGTCTGAAAGACATCCCCAACTACAAGACACCATCCCCCAGCACTGTGGAGAATCAACAACTGGCAGACGATCTGAATGAGTTCTATTGCAGGTTTGAAAAAACACCATTAAAACCTCCTGCATTCCCCTCTCCCCCACACCTGCACTTCAGATCATTGAAGATGATGTGCCCCAGGTTTTCCGGAAGCAGAAGAGAAAGAAAGCACCAGGCCCAGATTGTGTTACACTAGCCTGTTTGAAATCCTGTGCTGAACAGCTGGCCCCCATCTTTTCACAGATCTTCAACAGATCACTGGAGCTATGCGAAGTCCCTGCCTGCTTCAAACGCTCCACCATCATCCCCATTCCAAAGAAACCCAAAATCACAGGACTTAATGATTACAGACCTGTTGCCCTAACATCTGTGGTCATGAAGTCGTTTGAGAGACTGGTGTTGGCTTATATGCACAATCAGCTTGTAACACTCCAAAGAGAAAGGAAAACTTGAAATCGCATCATATGACCCCTTTAACGAGCTGCAGTTTTATTACATCATGCGCTGGCACAGATGCAGTATATTAACGCCAGGGGTCATCAATAAGGTGCAGATTTGGTCCTCAATTAGTGTTTCCAACACACTTTTTCACAGCGCGCATCACGCGCTCAAACTCATCAAAAGTCAACAAGTTCAACAACAACTTATCCAAGTGACTGCCGCAGAACGCACGCGAGAGAGAGACCAGCGCAGATCGCGCGTCTCATAAGTGAGTGGGAATTTACCGAACGTGGCACTTGCGGGAGTTAACACTGTATGCAATACCCGCAACCTCACACCAAATTTCAGGCCGTGTAGATAGGCAAGCATATATACAAATCATTTAGTAAGCAGAAATCCGAAATTTACCTTAACATATTAAGTTAGAGGAAGATGCGACTGAATTGATGCTTGAAGAATGCGCTTCCAGCAGCCATGATAAACAGTTGGCGGTTAAAGTTTTCTATGCACAATTTGATTTGACGAATGTCACGAGACCTATTACTCTCTCTATCCAATCAGGTTGATGGATAAAAAATTTAATTAAAATAAGCATGTAACGACCACAAACGGAGGAAAATAGCGGAGTAAAAGTACCGATACATCACTTAAAATGTACTCAAGTAAAAAGTAAAAGTACACAATTTTTTAACTACTCAAAGTACAATTACTGATAAAAACTACTTAATTACTGTAACGTGAGTATTTGTAATTCGTTACTTCACAACCCTGCCAGGGACTTATGTGAGGATCCTGTTTGTGGACTTCAGCTCAGCTTTCAACAGTATAATCCCAAACCTCCTCCTGCCCAAAATAACTCATCTCTCCGTGCCCACCTCTGTCTTTCAGTGGATCACCAGCTTCCTGACAGACAGGCAGCAGCTGGTAAAGCTGGGAAAATTCTCCTCCAGCACCCACACCATCAGCACTGGCGCCCCCCCAGGGATGTGCTCTCTCCCCACTGCTTTTCTCTCTGTACACCAATGAGTGCACCTCTACTGACACCTCTGTCAAGCTCTTGAAGTTTGCAGACGACACCACACTTATCGGCCTCATTCAGGACAGTGACGAGTCTGCCCACAGACAGGAGGTTAAAGAGCTAGCTGTCTGGTGCAGTCATAACAACCTGGAGCTCATCACGCTCAAAACAGTGGAGATTATCATGGATTTCAGGACCTCAGAAGACTACGTCGGATAGTCCGGACTGCTGAGCGAATCACTGGTACAACCCTTCCTACTCGTCAAGAACTGTACTTATCCAGAGTGAGCAAAAGGGCTGGCAAAATCACTCTGGACCCCTCACATCCAGCACACTCCCTCTTTGAACTGTTGCCATCTGGTCGGTACTACAGAGCACTGAGCACCAGAACGGTCAGGCACAGGAACAGTTTCTTCCCTCAGGCAATCCATCTAATGAACACTTGACAATAATTGTGGAACACACAACACTATTTATGCACTTATACACTTATTTATCTAACACACATACTTAGTCTAACACACATACGAATTTGCACTTAATACACCTGTACGTGGCCTAATGGATAGAGAGTCGGACTTGTAACCCAAAGGTCATGGGTTCGAGTCTCAGGTCCGGCAGGGATTGTCAGTGGGGAGAGTGAATAACCAGCGCTCTCTTCCAGCCTCAATACCACGACTGAGGTGAGACCCTTGAGCAAGGCACCGAACCCCCAACTGCTTCCGGGGTGCCGCAGCATTGGCTGCCCACTGCTCCGGGTGTGTGTTCAATACTGTGTGTGTGTGTGCACTTGGATGGGTTAAATGCAGAGCACAAATTCCGAGTATGGGTCACCATACTTGGCCACACGTATGGCACAAGTGAAAGTATGTACACTAAACTGTCTATTGTAATATACCTGTACATACAATTGTCAATTTGTATAGTGTTACTTGTTCTATTTTTATTCTTTTATTATCCATGTTTTGTTCTGTCACTGTCATTCTGTTGCACTGTGGAAGATTCTGAAACAAATTCCTTGTATGTGTAAACATAGCTGGCAATAAAGCTCATTCTGATTCTGATTGTAAAGCGAAATGTGATTGGTTATAGCAAGAACGTGCTATGATTGGTCAGCGAAGTGCGGCTGTTATCTGATATACTGTATATATATATATATATATACACACACAAAAATTCTTACAATTGGTTTCATGGATATGTCAAACAATCCGATTCAAATTTAGCCAAAAGCTACAGTATGAATATTCCAAAATTGTATGATACTGATAAAACACAATAATTTCATAGAAGAACAACAGCAATATATGTCTACATATAAAAATGTATTTGAATGTTTGAGGGCAAATTATTTGATATAATGAATCAGTTATTTGAAACGGTTCATTTACTGTAGCTCTTGCTCAGACAGTTAAGCATGGCCCTAGTAATACAGTTGCATAAGCAAACACTAGGGGCATTATTGTAAAACAAATCAGACAATCAAACAGAAATCCATCCATCATAGTTGTAAAAAGAACAAATCCACTGCTGTTCTATATGTAATTACCATTTGCAACATTACACCTCTTTAAATGACACCAAATTACCTGTCCTGTAGTGAAGTTTTTTTCTTCTTCTTTGTATTACTAGGGAAAGATCAGGCTCAGATGTTTTCAGCCCTGTTTCTGTGAAGAGTCACCAGTCAAAAGGTGACGGGCCCAATTTCAGCAAGAAAACAACACCACATACCAGAAGGTATTTCATGTGTTTTACATTACAGAGTTGTGTTAGCTAATTTTCCCACTGAGGTTTAAGTGATAAATTAACAAAATAAATCAATAAATCACAGAACATTGTGTCTGATAATTTGATTTCTTTCCAGTAATAACATTACATAGATGGCCACCAGAAACCTGAATACATCTATCCACCCATAGTTGTAAAAAGGACAAATCCACAGCTATACTGTGTTTAATTAGCATTTGCAGCTTTAGTTTTTACCAGACATAAATGTATCCATCTATAGTGAGAAGAAAAATGCATGGCAACATTGTATTTAATTACACAATTTTTTTTCTAATGAAACTGGAAACCTTGTGTAATAAAGTTATTTTCTTGTCTTTGTGTCATTAGAGAAAGATCAGCCTCAGATGTGTTCAGCTCTATGTCTGTTAAGAGTGACCGGTCAAAAGGTGACGGACCGAACTTCAGTGAAAAAAGACCATCATCTACCAAAAGGTATTTTATGTGTTTCTTCAACATTTGTAGTTAGTCAAAGCTAGTTAGCATATAATTTATTCTTAACACTGCAGATGAGTCCACATTGAAAATCGATTTAAATGTTTGTGGATCCTGTTTTTTATTTATTTATTTTTTTTTTTTAATTTCAAATTTTAATGATTAAATTACAGTTTATTCACCGAACAGCATGTTAAAATTAAACAATGGAATAAAAATTGTGATTATTACTTAAAAAATACAGGTTTAATAATAATGTTTTATTACTTGTAGTTGCATTACATTAAGACCACATTCTGCTGTACAAAAGTAATATATTTCTGTCACAATTTCTTCAAGTTTTACCAGACTAAAATGAAATGGTCAAATGCTCATAAAAGGACTCTCAGAACAGCTGTGGAGATGATGTTCATGTGTTCACATCCTCATTTAGTGAGACGGCTGACGCTGAAATCATTGTGAGTGTCGTGCTTCAGTATGTGTAATAAATAAAATCTCACGTCGGCACCATTCATTCACACAGAAACATGCAGAACATGCAGGATTCATTTTTAAATAGTCTTTTTGCAGCTTAATATTCACAGACGTTAGTCCATATTGCAATCTGATTTAAGTGAACTGACCTACTTTAATTTGACAAATTCCGTGACATTCCACGTTATACAGTATCGTGGAAATCATAGGGCCCTAGAAAAGTAACCTGCACATGCATTTTAGCCATTAGTTCAACAAAACACATGTAGGGGATGGAAGTGGTGATGATTTACCATGCATAAGAGTGAGAGCGAGTGTGCAGTGTGATTGTGCACCATGAGAACACAAATGAATGGCTCACAATCAGCTGTCTCCTTAAAAAGACTAAATCCAAATGAACTGTGGCAACATCTCCAATGTGCTTGAAGAAACCTTCCTGCAAAGCTACCTGAAAAACTATGTCCAGGTGTACCTAGCACAAAAGCTGTTTTAAATGCAAATGGTGGTCACACCAAATGTTGATTTTATTTAGTTAATAGAATTTTATTGATAAATAAAATCTCATGACATCTTTATGACATTATTTTTGAAAGCATCCTCGTTTTACAGCATTTTTACACAAGTGCCTAAATCTTTTCAGCTTCTGAATGTTTGAAAATGTGAATTGATATTTCCTACTGACAAACTAAAGCAAAGGAATGAAATAACTTTCTTAAAACCTTTTTTTTTTTGCACAGTAGTGTGTGTGTGTGTGTGTGTGTGTGTGTGTTTACACACATCGCGATTAATCACAGAAAAAGGGTATGATTAATCCGATTAAAAATTTGAATCTATTGGCAGCCCTTTGATATATAAAGTATATCATATAATATTATTAAATATAAACATTTTAAAATTGCTAATTTAGCAGTCAGTTATTTTCACTTTTAATACTTAAGTACATTACAAATAAAATACTTTTGTACTTTTACTCAAGTAAAATTGAAAAGGAGTACTTTTAACTGGAGTTATATTTTGATGGTATCTGTACTTTTACTCAAGTACCTGATTTGTGTACTTCGTCCACCACTATATAAAACAAATATCTGAATAAACTTGAGCAACCATAAAAGTCGGTAAACCAGAATGACCGGTGCTTTCAAATCAAGCAAGTGCGATTTCTGTGAAGAACTAGAGAGAGCATGTGCAGATATCAGTCACAGAGAAATGTCCAGTAGTAAAGTGTTTCTCTCTCTCTCTGTTCTCCGTTTTATTAGACAAAGATCAGGCTCAGATGTTTTCAGCTCTGTATCTCTGAAGAGTGACCAATCAAAAGGTGATGGACCAAACTTAAGTGAGGAAAAAGCACTTTTTATGAAAAGGTATGTCACACATTTTATATTACAGCATTGCATTTTCAGCTGTGTCAGCTGAGTTTGACTAAAATAAAAATCACAGAATGCTGTCTTTTAAACTGTTGATTTTCCCATAAACTCTTTCTGGAGTTTCTTTCCAACAATACAATAGCACAGGAATCCACTAGGGTGCATACATTCAACATGTAAGAGACCTGGCAACCAAACATATACACAGGATTATATATAAAATAATGTGAAAATCTGGGAAATAGGCATTATTTATTTTCTGTTTTACCACCTTTTGACTTTAACACATCTTCCAAACTTCTTAGAATAGATTCATGCAACTTTTGAATAGTTTCCAGTTGAATGTTCTGCCAGTTGCTTCAGAGATGTTGGAGGAATGTACAAAATGTCCAGGTTTCACGATCATGACTCCATCTTTTCCATATTTTAGCATTGGTGTCTGTGATTAAAGCTTTAGCAGTTGCACCTCTTTCATGGATTTGTGAAGTTCTCTGTGGTCAGTTCCCCTTCAGGAACTCGAGCTGCGTCGAACGCTTTGGGAACGTCCCCGGCGAGACACCGTACTGAAGCATGTGTGAAATCAGTCCAATAGCGAAGCAAGGCGTCACGAGCGGGGTGACGTGAGCAACCAGGAAGCATGAAGGCGCATCCGGCAAGCGCACATGTTAGCTTTTTGCTCTTCAGCGAGCATGTCTGTGGTGTGTGTGTGAATGTATGCAAAGCACTCAGTCAGTCAGAAAAACTCTGTTAGCAAGTGAGAAAATGGCAAAGTGTAAATCAAAAGCAAATGTCGCGAGCGGACGGCGTTTCAAGTCGTGTATTTCTCCCTACCCACATTATATCTCGTGTGGGGATACACACGATTTGTGCGTCATCAGTTTGGGAGCGGAGCATGCACGGGCAGCTCTCGAGGGGGCTGCCTGCCATGATTGTAAGCTTCTCCCGCTCCGTGTGCTTCGCTCCCTCCCGCCTGGCCGTCTTTGATGAAAGCAGCCAGGTTCGCGATCCTGCTGGGTCCGGCCCCGCTGTTGCTGAGGCACAGCGGCAGCTGTTATCGTGGGGATCGCAAGTGAATTTAGCGGAGGGATCCGGGACGGGCTCGTTCTTTTCTCGGTCCTCACCCGCTAGATCCATGGCCCCCTCTCAGGGATCGGAAACCCACCCCGCGGTTTCTTACCCCTGGAGAAGGCCAGGTGCTTCATCTATCTTCCTCCGAGGAGGTTGATGTGATGAGCGTCCACATGGAGGAGACTGTGGACTCGCCACCACATCTGACAAATCAGACAGCGACTGCAAGACCTAGTCAACTGCCCAGTTGGTTCAGTTCTGGAGTTTCTGCAGGAGCGATTCTCCACAGAGTTATCCCCCTCCACTCTGAAGGTTTATGTGGCAGCCATAGCTGCTTACCACACCCTTCAGTGTGGGCAGTCAGTGGGAAGACACCCGTTAGTTACACGTTTCCTCCATGGCACCCGGAGGCACTCACGTTCACAGAGCTTAAAGAGGCGTAAAGCAGATCAGTTATTTGTTTGCTGAAAAAGGGGTTCCAGCGACCAAGCAAACTATGAGTCGGTGGGTGGTCGAGACCATCACACTGGCCTATGAGTTCTCTGGCCTCCAGTCACCCATGGGGGTCATAGCGCACTCAACCAGGGGTATGGCGGCCTCCAAGGCCTTATCAGTGGGCGTGGCCCTTCAGGATGTTTGTGCTGAGGCAGGCTGGTCCTCTCCGCACACATTCATCCGTTTCTACAGTCTGGACCTGACATCTACTCCAGGGTCCCAAGTCCTCTTGTCTTGATGTGCTTGCCAGATACACACCAAACGGGGACTTGCTCGTATGGCGCAGTGGGTATTCTCATTTCCAAAGCGTTCGATACAACTCGAGTTCCTGAAGGGGAACGTCTCGAGGTTACATATGTAACCATGGTTCCCCGAAGGGAACGAGACGCTGCGTCTGCCTGCCATACTCCCTGCAGGCGCTCGCTCACTTGCCTTTATGCTTCCTGGTTGCTCACGTCACCCCGCTCGTGACGTCTCGCTTCACTATTGGACTGATTTCACACATGCTTTAGTACGGTGTCTCGCCGGGGGCGTTCCCAAAGCGTTCGATGCAGCGTCGTGTTCCCTTTGGGGAACCATGGTTACATACGTAACCTTGAGGTGTTTTTTTGAAACAGAACTACTGCAGCAAAGTGACAGCAAACCTCAATGTTCACCTTATAGACTCTGTATTGTTTGGACAATCCTTTGTAGTGTTTGATGGTTCCTATCATTCACTTTCACTTTTCTCACACTATTCTTCTTCCCTATGCTTTATGTACACAGTCATGATCATAAAGACTGCTGCTCTTAAAACACACACACACATACACACACACACACACACACACAAACTGGGTTGTTGAGGTTAGAGATGCTCTCGCTAAACATGCTGCCATGATTGGTCCATTTTTTGGAAGTCTGACAAGTCATCCATTTCCCTCACAGCTTGTACTAAAGAGTATTACAACTTATATTACACTGATAAAGAGACTAGAGAATATAAACAGTGAATATAATCATATTGTGTTTTTTTTTTTTTACTGTAGCCTACAAAATGTTATTAATCCCTATAATAATGGATGCTTTTAATTGTCCACGATCAAAAATCGTCATATCACACACCTCTGCTACTAGTTAATATAATGCACGTTCCCGATAAAAGAAGAAATGCTGGTGACTTTCTTGTTATAGTAAAACTGTAGTTGAGTTGTTGAGTTGATTAGCTGATTGGCATGTCACCATATTCTAATTTGTTGAGATAGTGAATTGGTGGGTTTTTGTTAAATGTGAGCCAAAATCATCACAATTAAAAGAACCAAAGACTTAAACTACTTCAGTCTTTGTGCACTGAATTTATTTAATACACGAGTTTCACAATTTGAGTTGAATTACTGAAATAAATGAACTTTTCCATGACATTCTAATTTATTGAGATGCACCTGCATATATGCCTATATATGCCTAATATAATATATATACACACACACAAACATATATAAAATAAAAAAATTAAATTAAACATAAAAGGGGGTTAGGGTTTTTCCTGTAAATAATATTTTTGCATTTTTATTTTTCATCACTTTGAGGGCTTTTGTAGGCTAGAAATAAACATTATAAAAAAATGCACAAAACGTTTGTTTCACTTTCAAGTACTTAGATTTGTGTATATAAAATTTTCCCAGCAGAAGTATGTTGTTAAAAAGGAAGTCATCTTTGTTAATTATTGTGTGTTCATGGAGTACTTATAGACCATAATATCAGCGTGAACTTCCGTTATTTCCTTATCACTTCTTGTGTGTGTTTGGCTGTAGTTTGCGGATCAGACAGAGTTGTCAGCGATTCTTCCTATTGTAAAGTCATTCAGTGTGTAACCTCTTATCGCGATCCATCATGCAATGTGAACACAGCAGCAACTGACTGCTACCCCAGATAGTCGTGCAGTGTGAAAACAAGGTGATCCGATGACTTTGAAAATCATGCAGTGTGAACTCGGCATTAGTTTCCATATGATTTGTTGTTTTGTGTGATTTAGCAACAAAGGACAGAAGTCCACAGTAAATATTGGTGCAGAATTTACACGGTGGGAAACTCTAAAGGCACAGAAGAGAATGCAGAGTGATGTGGAACTGGCAACTTTTCTTCTCAACAGGTGGGAACACAAAAATATATTTTAGATACCATAATTTACCTTTTAGTTACATTTACAACATAAATAATCAACCATACCAAAATGCATAATACATTTTTCGGTAACACTTTACTTGAAGGGGTGTGCATAAGACTGACATGACACCTTCATAATCATGACATGACACATGTCATGAATATGAAGGAGGTTTTATGCATGTTTATGACAACTGTCATTAAGTGTCATTCGCTCAGTTATGTCATTTTTTAATGCAAAGATGACATTGTTTGAGATGTCTTTGTTATGTGTTAGGGTTAGGGTTAAGGTTAGGTTAGGGTTAGGTCAAACAATGTCATCTTTGCATTAAAAAATGACATAACTGAGCGAATGACACTTAATGACAGTTGTCATAAACATGCATAAAACCTCCTTCATATTCATGACATGTGTCATGTCATGATTATGAAGGTGTCATGTCAGTCTTATGCACACTCCTTCAAGTAAAGTGTTACCCATTTTTCTATAACGTAACTTAGCTTTTGAAATGGTGTACACTCTGCCTTTTGAAGCAAATTTAGCACTTTACAATAAGTGTTAAAGGGGCCATATGATGCGACTTCAAGTTTTCCTTTCTCTTTGGAGTGTTACCAGCTGTTCGTGCATAGATAAGATCCCTAAAGTTGCAAAGACTAAAGTCTCAAACCCAAAGAGATATTCTTTATAAAAGTTAAGACTGGTCCACGCCCCCCTAAAACGCCTCGTTCAAACACGCCGCCCAAATGTTCATGCAAACAAAGAAGGCGTAACTTTGTTGCTGCCACCGCCGCCGCCATGTTGTGAAGACGCTGCGTGTTTCGTTGCGAAAGTGAA